CATCTTTCATCTTCTAGTTCTTACTACGATGCTAGAGTTTAGACAAGTCGTACCAGAACGCCGGTGATTCGCGAATCAATGCCCCTAGCTGGGTACCCCGAAAACACACGCCCCATTTGTACCCCAGGCACAAGCAGGACCAACTCACTACCCTCCTGTCATGGGGTCTAGGTCCTCGTCCAAACAAGGACTTCAAGCTCCCACCCCTGAGTCCCGGACTCCGTGCGGTGTAAGGACCTCCAATACCCAAAAACCACCCTGACAGTCGGTCCAAAAAGAGCCGGAACCCATAACAAGAGAGTAACAAGTCTTCCAAGCGCTCATACCCAAGTATGTGCTCGGGATAATAAGTCTGTGACTTGCCTAGTGTCCAATGCAACGACCGGTCCTTAACCGACACAGACAGGGAAAACAGTGTAACCAAGCTATGTCCCGTGGCCGTAGGACACAACCTCTTACACCCACCAATACTCAAACCATATCCCTGCCCGGTCATCATTTTTCTTTCCACCATTTATATTTTCCAAGTGATAATAATACAGTAATATATTTTCTATCTCTCACGAGTGACAGGCAATCACTCGACTTCTATTGGAGTCCTGTAGCATAGCAATCTATACGATCATGTCATACTAGTAAGACTCATAGAATAAAGATATATATATATATATATATGCAAGTGGGTTTCATTCAACTCCTTAAAACTTAATGCACAAATATAATTTAAAGTGCAGAAAAGTAGGGGTTATGCAGTGGGGCTTGCTTGGGTAAAATATAATCAGAAGTTAGCTTTCCATCATGGCGACACGATCTCCAAAAGCACCATTTCTCCGGCAACTCCCCATGACTCCGTGATCCATCGACGTCCCTATTATGATATGCAATGCAATGCAAAGACATAATTAATCGACTGCAACCGTGACTCGTAAAATACGATTTACGCCTCTCAAGTTAACGAGCTAGTTCTAACGATGACCGTACTGAGGCTACATATCCATGTTGTCGAATAAGGCGTTACTTCCCAACCAATGTTTTAGTTATATAAACTCAAGTTGTTTCTTTATTACATTCTATCAATTTAATCTTTATTTGAAATAAGGCATCATTATCTATCTAGCAAACTAATTATTCTAGAGCTACAAAAATTACAGTGAGCAGCTAATAATATAAGTAATTTACTGTAAAAAATTTAGAGTCCACACTATCACCATTTTCTCATAACAATTCCTACAAATTTATATTTTTACAATATTAAGTATCTCAAATTAATTATATAGCTTCCAAGAATATTATCAAACTATGTGAATAAAATATACTAGCAGATAGATTATGATTTTAGGAGACTACCAAAATTGGTTTCACCATTTTTGAACACCTACACAATTTTATTTTAATTTTACAAATTTATTTCCGAAACTAAATTAGCTAAATGTTTTCTAGAACAAAAAGGCCGACGGTGGCAAAGCGGCCCAGCAGTCCCAACGCGGACGCGCGGCCCAGACGCGTGCGGTACCAGGCCGGTCCAAGCGGGCGCGCGGCCGACGACCCAGGCCGTGGCCCATCAAGACGACGAGCGCGTGTCCAGCCAGCCGCCCATCGCCACAGCAGCAGCGCTGCCCAAAGGACACGCTGGCTTAGTGGCCCAAAGTGGATGAGCAGCCAAATTTATCGCCATGAGCAGAGCCCAAATACACACACAGCGCGCGGCCAGCGCGGCGTGCCCACAGCCACAGTCCCCCAAGACGTGGTGCAAGTGGCCCAGGCGCGGCCTACCCAAACCAGCCTGACGGTTTTTGCAAAAACATCCCCAATCTTCTACCTATTTCGTATGCTACCATTTCTACTATTCATTAGAGTCAAAAGAATTGCACCTAAGCCCTTACCTTTGTTCCTATTCTCATTTTCCCAATTCCAGGAGAGCCCGAACAGGGGATGGTGCACAGGGTAGCCGGTCGGCGGCCAATCTCGGCCAGGGAAGACACGACGGTAACAGAGGACCACCCGTGGGGTGTGCGGGGCCAACCCACAACCAAGGGTGCCCACAGCACAGAAGGAGGTGGCCCACAGCAGCGGGGCGACGTGCGTGGCGACGCGGCATGGCGACCGGACATGGCTGCTGCAAGGGAGGCGGTGCGCCGGCGGACGGAGATGGTGGTACGGTGTGTGGGGCACCGGCGGCGTGCCAGCACGACCGAGGCGCGTGGAAAGGAAGCATAGTGGAGCTCGCGCGCACTCACGAGATCCGCCTTGGTGGCGGCGAGGCATCACGTGGGGCACGGGAGGAGCCGTGGTGCGAGGAGGAGCGAGGTGAGGCGGAGCCATGGAGGTTCGCGCGCGCTTGCGTGTGCGGTGGCCGGTGACGGGAGCATGGCCACGGCGGGCGCTGCGATTGGGAGGCGCGGCGACTGCGGGCGCCGTCCATGCGGTTGCTCAGCAGGGCAGCTCCAGAACAAGGAGGAGAGAGGCAGGGCTTTGGCTTTGTGCAAGGTGATGGGTGGCGAGCAGAGCAGAGCAGAGCCGAGTACCACAGCGTGTGCAGCGACCGTGGGTGACTGGCGACGACGAAAATGACTTAATGGCCCTGAGCAGGGTGGGGCAAGCTTGGCGAGCCTCAAGAAGGCAGAGGTTAGGGCAGCAGCAAGTGCGGCCATGGCCAGAAGGACGAGAGTGGGGCCGACGAGGAGGCAAGCGCACATGGCCTACTGCACGTTTAGTACAGCAGCAGCGGTACCAAGCAGAGAAACAGACACGCAGAGGTAGGCAAGCAGAGAAACAGAGGGCTAGCGAGGTGGGCGAGCAGGAACTGAGGTGTCACACCTCAGTTGCAGAAAAAGAAAGGGAGAGGAAGCAGTACACGACAGCAGTAGCAGCTCGGAGGTGGTCCGGCCTGCTCGGCACGGTCATGTCGGTGTAATGACACTGAGCTGGGCAGGAGGAGGGCCACATGCAAACAGCGTGAAAAATGGCAGTGGCCCGACTGAAGCTAGACGGACCAAGGCAAGAGTGCTCTGCTAGTTAAGTCGAGGCCGAGTACATGCAAGAAAACAACGAGGCACCACCGTCTTTCAAACTAGTGCATAGACGGGATGACTCGAACGTGGCGGGACGCGAAGGCAACTAGCTCCTCCGTGGTTATGCGGTCGTGCGGTGAGCGGAGCACCACGTCGGCCAGACGGTTGGCAGGCAGTGCACGCAGCGACCACAGGCCGAGTCGTACGACGGTGAGTAGCGATGCGCACAAATTTAAAAGAGACGCAAAAACTATGGATTAGCTCACCAAGTTCCAACCAACATGCACTACCCTAGAGTTGACACTACCATCTCCCCAACGAAGCAACCCATATGATCAGAAGATGACCAGCGAGAAGGAAAGAGAGGCGCCAAGATAGACAGGTCGCGTAGCACGTCGGTTCACTGATAGAGCGCCACTATCATGGTTAACATGTTCAAAGCGTAATTGGGAAATTTTATGAGCGCATCGTGACTCCCAGACTACCCACAACGCATTTCATACACTAGTCCATACGTCATACTAACTCCTAGAAACAAAACATCTTGGAACTAATTAACCCGTTGTTCAGTATAATTCGCCAAAATTGACACTTTTAAACATAAGTTAAAATTTTAAAATCCGAGAAAATCATTTCGGTAAATCCTCTTAGGTCTAAATCTCGGTGCTAAGCAAGCTTGTAACACCAGAGATGTTACATAAGGTTACAATGAGGGTGATCAGCTAACAGATTGGATTCCTAGCTTGTTACATGGAATGCGTAACAAATCGATTCTATCCTACCATCTAGATACGATGGCGCCAGATATCCTCGATATGGCTTGACCTCTAAGCTGATAGGTTCGTCTAGTCTGCATGTGCTTCATCCTTTGATGTCCCCAGCCCGCCGGACTGTCATAGGTCGAATATATGGTCGGTGAGGGTACCCCACGCCCATATATCCTACAGGTGGATATTTAAAGAAATGAGGAATGCAATTAATTAGTGTACAACCGATGCCTTTGTCCTGTCCACACAAACCAAATAAAAAATAAAATAATTTGTTGATATCGTAGCCACAAAAGATTGAACAAAGGGTGTTTGGAACTGCCTAAATACCTCATGACTAACGGACTAGGTAGAGTATTTTTGTATGTTCCTTGGTCATGATCTTGCTCCCATAGGCCACCGAGCATCCGCTGCCACTATGTGCTCGAATCGCACGGTGCCACAACCCATAATATAGGGGTTGTCTCTTAGCTAGGACATCTTGTCATCCACGCCCTCCCTTGCCTCTCTCCTCGATTTGTCTTTAATATTAACACTAGTGGTAGGTTCCTCAAGAGAATAAGAGAATAGGAAGAAGAAGAAGAATCATGCATACCCAAAAGGAATAAATGAATTAGAGGAATAAAGAAATGTTTAGTTATATAGTGACCTCAATTTTTTGTTGGTATATATTTAATTAGTGTAATATGGAATATTATAAAATAAAATATTCCATATAGAGCACGTCTCCACTAGGCAGCTTTACAGTTGTCACTACATTGATATGATTTAGATGTAAACAATATACGGAATTGTCTTTTCAGAGCTCTACAGTCAAGTTAAGGTTGGAATACATAACACATAATAATCTAATCAATCTGATAGTGGGTTGAAAGTTGGTGGTAGTACATCTTCTACTCATGGCCAGAACCATACTATTTATGGTGTAAAGAATGACTGGTTTATAATCTATAGTATATATATAGTTCATCCCTAATAACAATATTTAATTCCTCAAAATCTCAATCACATTTGCACAACATGATAGATATCTGATCTTCACCATTCATTTAGATCCAACTATTCAAATTATATCCATGTCAACCAGTTCTTTTTGGCTGAATTATTCCTCATGGGCCCCCTTTGCCAGCATTGGACCATTAAGCAACCAAAGCATTAAATGCTCTATGTTGGCTGTCACATAGCCATTGGTAGCGCTCTTTGCCTCTAGTGGCAGGGAGGCATGGAACATTGTCATAACTCAAAATCAATTGCAGAGGCAAAAGACATGAGCGAGAGCGAGAGCACTTGGGCACCAACCCCGGCCACCACCCACCCAACGCAACCGTCGGTGACCTTCGTGCCCCCAATGACTAGCCCTGATGCCAGGGCACTAGCCCCAGCCGCATCCCACCTGATGCATGCGCTTGTCACCATCAAGGCCTCTGCAGCCAACTCCGATGCACCAAGGGATGAGTTGATTAGGCTCTTACAGTCTGATGCCATAGTGGAGGACTCCCGCCACGATCTAGACCGGGGATCTATTGATGATGAAGATGGTGCCTTCAAAAAGCTCAATCCAAAGGAAGGTAAGTTCTAGGGCGTCGATCTAGATCTAAAAGAGGAGGATCAGGCTCCTATGGCGCTCCCCACATATTGCTCGTCTTCTACACCCCATGAGGTCGCCCCAGTGGTTGTTGATGCTCTAGGGAGTGCAACTAGTGCTCTAGGGAGTGTCACTTGCCCTAGGGTGGTGCTACCAAAGGGAAGCATTCAAGTGGCCACCTTCAAGCATGTAGAAGCAGTAAGGGAGGAGGCGCATCTGGGCCATGGCTCAGACACCGAATCAGGCGAGGGCATAGGAGATGCCTTAACTTCGCCTGACACACAAGCAGGTATCTAGGGCATGCGTGCCATCACCACTACAATAGAGGTAATTGATGTGCCTTTCTCTCCTAATACTCTATCCCCTGCTCTCCTCTTGCCCTAGGTGCTGACCGTACCTTTAGCGGCGGTGCCAACGTGCTAGGCTATGACAGTAATGTTTTCATGTGGTTGCCTTCAGTATGCATGTGGCATGCTCGAACTATTTGTTACACTAAACTAGCAAGGAATAAAATTGACATAGTGGTGGAGGAAGAGCGGGGATATTGCTTCTTCACCATCTTCCATCAAGTTACCACTCTAGGCCCATGTTGACATTGGATTGCTAGCAAGCTATAAGAACTACTTCTAGGGCTGGTGCTTTTGGTGCCTTGGCTGCAACCATCAACTCACCTCTTATCGACATCATGTTTGTTGTTGAGCCAGGGTCTACCTCGGATATGACTACCTTGCCCTAAGATTGGCTATAGAAGACCAAGGGCGCACTGTCATACCCGATTTTAAGGATAAAATGGGATGCAAAATCTTTTGTGCGCCCAGAGATCAGTCACACACATAAGCCGACAAATTATAGATAGTATCATCACAAGTGTTTTTTACATCACCATTAATATGACATAGTCTTCACATAAATACAACGGAAGTATAAAGATAACTCTCTTGTGGAAGCTCCATCGCACAGGGACGTCAACTGGTTGACTACAAGTCTAGTAATCCTCAGTAAAGTCATCATTACCATTGCAATCTGTTACCCATCTGTGATTTTTAGCCAAATAATGAAAATAAACAAGTGTAAGTACATATCGTACTCAATAAGTGTAACATGGGTTCATGAGGCTCAAAGGCTTGACACAGGTTTAACAGCATTTAACTTTTAGTTGTCATAATTTTAGCATAAGAGTAGCAACAAGATATTTTAATCCCAAAGTAAAACACATGATCAATGTAAACATGAGTAATATATAGCAAAAACAATTACCTAATAGTGATCATCTATTCCATAAGGGTTCCAAGGCCACTCGTGACCGTGAGCACGGCTGTTATAACAGTTTTACACTCTCCAGAGGTTGTATGCTTTCACTGTGAGTCGTGATACCCATATGCCCGGGTTTATAACTCCTAAAACACTTCCAAGGTGAGCAGGCATGGTTCACTATATAGCCTTTCAAAGGTACACCTAACAAATTAGGGCCACTAGGTTTCTAATTGGTAAGCAGATATAGGAACCCAATGTCGAATGGCACAATTCTATCACGGCTATACACATAAGAGTAGAGGCTGTCCTATCCCCGTCTCGTCAAGCCTCTCTTGCGCCATAAAGGTAACCACTAACAAGCTAGAAAAGGTCCTCATACCGAGCTAAAGCCAGAGCCATGTGGCCCTCACAGCTGTACTATAAGTCCTGGATGATCACTTATAGATAAGTTCTTAGGGAGAGGAATCTGAAACATTTAGAAAGTAGCTAAACACTCCAGCCCCCTTTTTCCAAGTTGCTAAAAAGTCATGTTTTAATGTTTATTGCATATACCATTAGTCAAGTTATAAGATCATAGTTTAGTTGAGCACTAGCAAAGCTACCCAATGCATATCCCATAGGAGTCAAGGCATAAGTACAATTCTAGGAAATCCTTATCAAGGTGACATGCAAATATGGATTGATTATTAAAGTGAATAGGTAACAACGATGATCCCATGCTATACTTGCCTTGAACAAAGTGTTCCTACTGATCCCGCTCGTCAAAGTAATACTCTTGATCACCCATGGATTGCTGACGCTCTATACTCGATAATCACAACAAAATACAAGCATCTAGAGCAATCATGCATAGCAAACAAAGACTATAGATTAGAACAGTACACCAACAGCATAAAATCGAGATGAAAAGTTTGTAAAACGAATCTACATCTCGCTACAAACACACAGACACGGAGATCACAAAAATTAGAGCTAAAATGAAGAAATTATGAATTAATCAAGATTTCCTTTAATAAAATAATAGATTAAATCTATCCACAAATTTCAGAAGTTGAAAACATACTTAACAGTAGTATAACCAAGTAGATTACACGATTACGAATATAACGCAACTTGAACGAATCAAAATAGAGTTAAAACGAAGTTTTTATAAGCAAAACAAAATCAGTGGAAAATCTATAAATAGATGGATTTAATTCGAATTGAAATAAATCAAAATTGGGATTTTGAATCTGGAGTGGACTGTGGGTTTAAAATTAGCAAACTAGAGGGGCTCTTATGCAAAATTTCTAGCCGAAGGGGTATTGGCCGATCTAGACCGTTAGATCTGAGTTGGACGGTGGGGATTAGATCCAGCACGAGAGAGAAGTTGGACAGAACTGCCATTGACGACGTCAAAGGAGCTCGCTGACGATATTGAAACCGGCCCTAGAGACCTCGGTTTGACTCAAGAAAAGCACGGGAAGAAAGAGGGAAAGACGGTGAACTCACCACGGTAAATCACAACGACGTGGAGCGGATGGAGGCGGCGCACGGCTCGGGACGGCAGACGGCGATGATCTACAACGTCGGTGACACAAGGATAAGCAACCAAAAGCTAGAAAGAAATGGAAAAAGATCCTGGCGACTTCACGAACTCAAGACAAAGCTCGGCGGCTAGCTTATGAAGACATCGAGGCAACAAACTCATCGAAACAAAGGCGACGGCAATGAGCTAGGGTTGCGGCTGCGCTGCGAGCACGATTGGAGGCGGCGGCTGACGCTAGGGTGGAATAGGGAGGTCGCATGGACATGAGGCTGCTATTTATGAGAGCCTCAGCGTGCAATTCACGCCAAACTACATGGAAATCAGGGCGGTGGCGGAGTCCTAGCGGAATAGAGTCCGGGTCGGTGATGACTCGAGGAAGAAGACGGCTGACAAGCGGGCCTAGGGCATCAGCGGCTCAAGGCGTGGGGCCGGGCTGACAGTGAGACAGAGCAAAGGAGAGGGGAGCGGCGCTCGCACTGCTTGCTGGGTTGGCCTGCTTGCTGGGTCATGGGAGGGGAGCTGGGCATGCGTAATTGGACGGAGTGGAGCTAGGCTCCAGAGACCTGGGATGGCGCTTGAAATTGGCCAGTGGGCTAAAATTCGAGAGAGGGAGAGAGAGAAAATCCCTTTTCTTTTGCTTAAACACATTTTCAAAACCAAATTCAATTCAAATTTAAATCCTTTTGCAATTTTGATCAGCATCACAAAAATAAGTATGCATCAGCATGAATGCACAAACATGTAGCTAGACCTTATAGCTGATTTTAATTTTAACAAAAGTTTTTTTTTTAAGTTTAAATGCTCCCAAATTGCATAAATAAATCAAATTCACCTATTTAAAAATCTTACAAATTTTAGGGTGTTACAATTTTACCTCCCTTAAAATGAATCTTGTCCCCGAGATTCGGATGATGCTTACTCAAAAAGCTGCAGGTATGTTTTCCTCAGATCCTCTTCTCTTTCCCAAGTAGCCTCATCTTCTGTATACCGATTCCACTGAACCTTACACATATTTATAACTCGGCTCCTCATAACCCTTTCTGCCATCTTCAAGATCTTTACCAGAAATTCCTCATAGGTGAGATCTTCCTTAACTGTAAGCTCCTCTAACGGTATCTGCTCCTCAGGTACCCACAAACACTTCTTTAATTGAGACACATGGAACACATCATGTACACAGGCAATTCTAACTGATAAGCCACTTCTCCACGTCTCTCCATAATTTTGAAAGGTCCAATATATCTTGGTGCTAATTTTCCTTTCATATTAAACCTTCTCACACTTCTCATTGGTGACACTTTTAGGTAAATATAATCCCCTATTTTAAAAATCAATTCTCTTCTCCAAGTGTCAGCATAACTCTTCTGTCGAGACTGCGTCACTCTCAAGTTATCTCTAATCATCCTTACTTGCTCCTCAGCATCTCTTAAAACATCTGGCCCGAACACTTGAGTTTCTCCCGTTTGATTCCAAAACAACGGGGTTCTACACTTTCATCCATACAAAGCTTCAAAAGGTGCTATATTGAGACTCTTTTGATAACTGTTGTTATATGAGAACTCTGCATAAGGCAAACTCTCGTCCCAACTTGTACCGTACTGCAATGCACAAGCTCTCAACATGTCCTCTAAAATTTCATTTGTCCTTTCAGTTTGTCCGTCTGTCTGAGGGTGATACGCTGTACTAAAATTCAACTTGGTTCCCAATGAAATATGTACTTGCTGCCAAAAGTGAGATTTAAATTGAGTACCCCAATCAGACACAATTTTCTTGGAAACTCCATGCAGACACACTATCGTTTCCATATATAATTGGGCCAACTTTGGTCCATTATAATTAGTCTTGACCGGTATAAAGTGAGCAACTTTAGTTAACCGATCCACTATCACCCATATTGAATCATAACATCCCTGAGTGCGCGGTAACCCAACAATGAAATCCATACCAACTTCTTCCCACTTCCACTCAGGAATCTTCATTGGTTGTAATAACCCCGCTAGTCTTTAATGTTCAGCTTTAACTCTCTGACATGTATCACATATCGCAACATATTAAGCAACATCCCTCTTAAGTTCATACCACCAATACTTTTCTTTCAGATCCAAGTACATCTTGGTACTCCCGGGATGAATAGAGTAAGCAGACTCATGTGCCTCACAAAGAATTGCATCTCGTATAGCCTTATTCTCAGGCACACATAGTCTTTTCCCAAACTATAGAGTTCCATTATCATCCATATGGAAACCTGGTGCCTTACCAATCACTATGTTTTCCGCTATTTCCTTTAACCTCTTATCCTGTAACTGACCATTGCGTATTTCTAGCTCCAATGTAGACTCTATCACCAACTCTACTGTATTAGTGACGAAACCCAAATTTAGTTGCTTAAGTTTAGCACACAACTCACTTGACATAGATGCAACTTGCACCTCATTGGCGTAACTCTTCCTGCTAAGAGCATCGGCAACAACATTCACCTTTCCAGGATGATAGTGTACTTCTAGATCATAATCCT